TAGGGCTGCACGATATGGGCCAAAATTCATATCTCGATATTTTTTAGCTGAATGGCGATATACGATATATATCTCGATATTTTTTCCGTAAAGTAAAAACAAAACAGACAGTCCTAGTTTGAAGCCAAACCTCACACAGGCACTTTATTTAACGTTTAGAAGCTGCACATCAACATGCATGAAATAATTCAGGAACAAAAACTACCAGCATAAATAAATAAAGATACCATTCTTCCTTCTTTCTTGCATCCTCCCTCATTCCCTCAATTACTGCTTTCTCCCCCGCCTTACTTGCTTCTTTACTGCCTTCCTTCCTTCTCTCCCCCATCCTTCCTTCAATCTTCAAATCCTTCTTTCCCTCCCTCCTTCTGTCCTTCATTCCTCCCTCACTCCCTCTGTTCCTTCTTTCTCCCCCCCTCCTTCCTTGCTTCTTTCCTTCTATAATTTCTTCCCTCCTTGCTTCTTTTCTCCTTACTACCTTCATTTCATATTCTTTCTGTCCCTGATTTCTTTCTTCCATCCTTCCTCCCTCAATTCTTTCTTTCTCCCCCTCCTTCCTTGCTTCTTTCCTTCCTTAAACCCTTCCTTCTTCCCCTCACTCCTTCTGACCTTCCTTTCCTCCCTCCTTCCTCCATCACTCCCTCAATTCCTTCTTTCACCCACACCTTACTTGCGTCTTTAGTGCCTTACCACTTAAATAAAATAAATTAAAATAAATAACTTTGTGCAAAATGTGCACATACAGATCAAAATAAGACTGGTTTGTTCTTTTAAGTAACTGAGGTAGACAGTTCTTTGTAAATTAAAGTAACTGAGGTAGACAGTTCTTTGTAAACTAAACATGTTAGCAGATTTGAACATGAGTGAGTGAGTTGTGTAGCGTGATTTGCTTTGAGGCAGGAGGCTGACAAGTCTTCACGGTCTGGGTTGCAGCACGCAGTTTAATACACTCCTCATACTGCACTTTGTGCTTCTGTTGTAAGTGGTGGAAGAGATTTGTTGTGCTCGACCCTTTCGTTGCAAATTTTTTCCGGCATTGTCTACAAAGTGCATTTTTCTGCTCCACGTCTGCCGCTTGAAAACCAAACCATCTCCAAATGAGAGAGCCGTTTGTTTTCTTCTTAACAACCAGTTCATCCTCGTTTTCTGTATCACCTTCTCTCCTTTCTGTCTCCTCCTCTATCTCCGGATTGTTCGCTGCTGCTGCCATGCTTCTTCATGCAAATGTCGGGAGGTGGGGGTGAGGGCGAGGGGGTAGTGAGGGGGAGGCGGCAGGGCGCCGTTGCTGCTGCTTGGAGATACAGAGAGGCGGGCCGCGGGGCAGAGAGAGTTTGCAGCGGAGTTTGCAGCAACTTGCAGCTTGTTTTAATATATATCGATATATACGATATGATGTAATCCTATATCGCGCATGAAAATATATCGATATAAATTCAAAACTCGATATATCGCCCAGCCCTA